TGTAATTTGTGGTTGTTTATGTGTGTGTCCATGGCACCCGCGACACACATTTCTCTCGTGATTTGTGGTTGTCTATGTGTGTGCCTATGACACTCAGGATTTCCCTAGCACGGGGCTATGAGTGTGTGACTTATTTTTTTTTGTTTAAATAATAACGGCCATTCTCGGACTTAGTGTTCACTAATTTCCGAGGAAGTTTTAGTTATTTAAGTAGTCGATTTTTTATCGGGCAATATTATTTAATATTCGAGTATGGCATCGTGCAATGTTATTTTATAATTGCACGATAATATACTTGAATATTTAAATAATAAAAATTGCCACGGAAATTGGCTAGTGAACACTAATCCGAGAATGACCGACAATAGTGATGATGTAAAGAGCCGTGGTAGCCCAGTGGGAGAACATCCAGCTTCTCAATTGAAAGATCGAGATGGGTCGAATCCCTCTGGCGACATGCATTGATAGCTTTAATTTCGAAGTTATGGACATTTGTAAATGTTCAATAGCCATACCTGTCGGTAACATTTAACGTTCAAGCAGGTTTATAGAGTTTTTCTATAAGGACATAAAATTTGTGTATTTCAATAAAACGACCTCTGCGGCCGAACGGTGTCCATGCCGGACTGATACGCAGAGGGCCCAGGTTCGATTCCCGGGTCGGGAGAAATATTTGTATTGCCTACATTTATTTCTCTCGTGAGTTGGGGTGTAATTTGTGGTTGAATATGTGTGTGTCCATGACACACGCGACACAGGGTTTCCCTAGTGCGGAGCTATGTTAAGTGTGTGTGTCTATGTGTGTAAAAACACAATAATTTGGTTAATTAATAGATTCAGGCCTACAAAATGTGTAGAAGTCCATGTTAATAAAAATGGAAGTAAATTAATTTGCTACTCCGCGAACCCAGTGAAACTTAAATCGTGCTACATAGCTGCGCTTGAGTTGAATATTTTTTCATGTACTTAATTTTCCAACCTTCCGCATAAAATTAATAAAATAAATAACACAAGCGCAACTACAGTCACAAACACCAATGTCAAATAGCCAGCCATAAGTATATCAGGAATGAGACTTGTTGATATTGCCTAAAATTCTGTTTAGTTTTTTGTTATTAATCATTCCTAATCTTATTTAAACAAAGTAGAGTTTTCTTATTAAATTATTTATAATTTTATTTTAATAATATGTTTTAGTAAAGTAAGGACATAGTGCCTCAGAAAGTTGCAGTGCCCCCACGGGGTCCTACATGTCAAGTTCCATTAGCATATGAACACCTGTTATACGAGATATGAATGTGAGACAATAAACGATAAATGATATGACACCACCACAAAAAATATACCCTATAAGTACACATGTTACATTTAAGAATGGAATCGATCTCGTTCATATGACCACCGAGCGTTTACAGCGTTCAATTCTCTGGAGCCAATTTTCCACCACTTTTCCACACATATCTGCCGAAACGTTGGCAATTTCGCATTAGATATTGTTCCTGAGCCCATTTAACGTTATTGGCTTGTTAATATATATATATATATAATAAACCAACGACTAAACGTATTTCCATAAAATGTGATCCAACGGCGTCAAATCGCATGAGGGACGTGACCATTCGACTGGACCATGTAGAAACACGATTAACGAACTTCACTCTTCAATAGATCGATTGTTTGACCAAACTGCAAACATGCTCGCGGTGGTCATATGAACGAGACCGAATTCCATTCTTAAATGTAACATGTGTATTACCACTGAAATAAACTTCAGCTCGCTATTTCAATTATTCTGTGTTTTATTGTAATACAAAGTTCTTATCTGCCGTCCGCTAATTAAAATGTCAAATATCCGATTTAAATTTCTCTTTTAAAGACAGTTAACGTGTTCGAATTATATATATTATATCTGAAATATCATTAAACAATTTCAATGTTCTAAAACTGGGTTATGGTTTTTTATATCTCAAAAAAAAAATTTTGTCACTTACCCGCGTTTTAGTTAGCGGCCGGCAGTTATGTCCATATTGAAAAACCCGATATAATGCTTGAAAAATCATGTAGTCCCCAAACCGTATGAAATCAGTGTGGCAGACTATGGCCTAAACCATTATTGTTATATTTTTAAAAATTATTTACTAAAATAATTACTTATTAATTTAAACATGGCGGCGCAACAAAAACCCGAGTCGGTTTATCCAAGCACTATCTCTTCGGAGGAGTAAACGATTATGCTATGCGGTAGTGGATGTTGGGTATATAAAATGGTGATTAAAAGGCGTGACAGTGTTACAGAACGGAAGAAAATTAAATTTAGTGTAATAAAGTTGACAAGTCCCATGCGCATATAGTTTCACCAGTACCATAAGGGCCAGTGCAAACCGGTGGACGGCAAAGCAGAGAACATTAAATTTATCAAAGTATATTTTATGCTATTTTAATATGTATAAGGTATAAATTGTATTGTTCTGAGACCGACCTCGGAGCATCGCGGCGCATATCCCTCTGCGTCACAGAGCAGTGAAATTTATACCTTATTACAATTACAATAGCATAAAATATTCATTGATAAATTTAATGTCCTCGGCCTTAGCGTCCGCCGGTTTGCGCTGCACCTTACCCTTCAAATCCTATTCTGCTCACAATACTGCAATGCGGCAGAAATTGGTAAGGTGGCAGTACTTCCCTGAACGGACTCTTTCACAAAGAGCTTCACTGCTATTAAATTTACAGCTTTGTCAGTATAATTATTAATACAAAGATCGAACACTTAGAAAAAATTCCTTCGATCCGGCCGGATTCGAACCGACGTCTTCTAGCATACCGTGCCATACACTATACCAACTAAGCCACGGAACGAACCAGCGGATTTCTTTCGGGACTTTCTTCGAAAGTCGTTGTATTTGGTTTTTCAACGACTTTTTTGTCGTAGCGCCATCTATGAGAAATCTACGAAAGTTTTATCAACCAGTTAGATACCTTTACAGCTACCAGCCCTGGCGAGCGATGTCGATATTCACTGTATTTTAAATTTATATTGAATTGATATTCAATTATTTTTGTGAAATTACGCCACTACTTTGTTATAATTATTAATGTTAGTTTAATTAAGGCGTAATGTGGACTAACATACATACATTCCAAAATAGTTTTTTTTGACGTAAGATTATTAAAAGGGCACTGTGGAATTAGCATTATTTGTAGCTGTCCGAGTTCCACGAATTCAGGGATCACATTTAAATGGTCCAGTCTTCATATACAGAAAGTAAATTAAACAAATAAACAGATACGTTGCCACTTATTGCACAAAGGGCGCTTCATATCTGCACGATATAAATAAGTTATTGTCTAAGGGAGATGTCGCAGTTTATTAACTCCGGTCGTATTCTGATACACTACAAACGAGTTTTAATTGACATACACTGGGTTTTTTTGTAAAATACTCGCAACCTCGCGTGATTATATTACTAACATCATAAACAACAACTTTTGTTCCATGATTTTTAATAATTCATTACATTTTACTTTCATACAAAAAAAAATAGATTTATATAGATCGCTCAAACTGTAATAACTCTGTGCAAGACGGGGGTGGAAGTCGGCGCGAAAGACGCTTGCACGTTTGACATTACCTTACTACATACAGATCTAAAAATTGTCAGATAGTACAACAAAAACTTAAAAGTTTATTTTTGGTAAATTTATTATATTTCGTAAAAAGTTATGGAACAAAAGTTGCTGTTTATGATGTTAGTAATATAGTCCTGCTAAGTTGTTGTACTTGAACTACCCTCAAGTTTACAACTGCATAATAAATAATAATTATCCATATAGAAAAATATCAATTGCACTTCACACATCGGTTGCTGCATAAACACAATTTTAGTAAATCTCTTCTAACTCTGCTTTCAGATTGCCAAAATCCGCAAAATTTTCAGTGGTGGTGCGGCAATGTATTACAAGCTATTAATTGACACCCCTTTAATCTTTTCACAACTAGGCTCAAAATTTTATGAATCCGTCTCCTTTGAGATTGTTAGTTAATGGCGCAATGTATTGGGTTTTTATTCCATTAGGCGTTAAGATTGTTTCTTACCTGAATGCTGCGGGATCTGGTCCGACCATGGCGATCAACTGCGGTACCTCAGCTGAGTGTTGAGCGAGCCGCGCTAGGGCCTTTACGGCGCGGAACAGGTGCTCCTCCGCTGGCGCCCACTGCAGCAGTTGCAGCAGCGCCATGCCCAGCTCTACGCACACCTCGTCGAACACCTGCATCAGCGAATAAGACACTCCCACAGTATGCCTTACTACCTGCCATGGTCTCATGACTAGACTTTTTTCAAGAGCACCTAACACAGAGTGAAATGTCAAATCTATACAAGTTTTTGAACTTCAGAACTTGAAAGATAGAGAATGGGTTTCGAAATGTATGGTATTCGTCGTCCTAAATGGTTGTTTTTCAAGTTACTCGATTAGGGTTTGTTATTTTTTCCCAAGAGCACAACTCGATGAGTATAAGGTTAAACAAAACTTCTCGCAGCTGAAATAGTCGAGCCTGAGATAAGAAGGATCTACCGACGTTTGCTGTCTTTATGGATCTTGACATTGTAGTAGAAGATAGTGTAGTGGGAGAATAGTTAATACGATAAGTGTGTCAACAACGTATAATACCTGTCGTTTATATTTTCTTAAAATCTGTACATTTAATTTACAACGCAGCGTATATGACGTCATCGCGAAGTCAACTGGGGAATTCCGTTTTTTATTTGTCTCCCGTATTAAACGTAAATCTTTTTTAATGATTTTAGCGAATTGCCTATGTGTGCAACATTTGGGTTTCGATGCGGCTCACTAGAATTCACAATATAATGAGTATATTTACGTTTGCGATAAATGTTATTCGTTACTATGTTCTTACCGATACGGTACGGAGAACCATAGACAATAATGCTTGCCTCTGTGGTGAAAGGATTGCCAACTGGCGTAAGGTACTTGCCGATTATTGACCAGATTGCGCCAGACGTACAGAAAGGAATGGTACATCGTGCACCCCCATTAGTTTATATCTCTCAACATTACAAATGTCATTTTATATACTACTCTTCAAAAAAGTGAGCGTCAGTTCACAAAATAATGAAGAAATAATTATATAATACCTAATAATAACGCACACACTCAACATAGCCCCGCACTAGGGAAACCCTGAGTCGCGGGTGCAATGGACACACATAAACAACCACAAATACACCCATACAAATATTTATCCCGGCCCGGGAATCGAACCTGGGACCTCTACGTGACAGTCCGGCATGGTAACTGTTCGGCCACGGAGGCAATTCTGCAATAGTAAGTCATAAGTACACAATAGTGTATATATACAAATCAACATAATTAATGAAACTAATAAATAATTGAATTAAACTAACAATGTCAAGTGTATACAGGAAAATGCCAATATGGATTCTTAATAACTAATAAATGTATATTAAAATATAATAATACGGTGAATGTCCAATTCATTAATAAATATAATAATTTAATTATTTATTATTCATGAAGTGATTAATGTAAATTTAAAAAAAAAATATTTTTATTTATAATTTCAGAGAACGATTGGTTCTTGTTGAGAGGCTGACGGTTCGGATTCCTGCGGCATGTATGTATGTATACCTTTAATTTCGAAGTTACGTGAAAAAAAAACAGATTACACCAGTAGACAACAACATAAATGGCAATTTCTGTCAAAAAAAAAAACAAAAATTTACAAGGAAGTTTATTTTGCAAGTATTTGTATCTTCCTTATTATTTTTGCGATAATGTCTCTTTTACGCCATAAACGTTGTCAGTTAAAGTGGAGTTGTATGTTTACTTATAGGTACATGTTTTTTTAATCGTTTGTAGAGACAGATTGTGCGACATCTAAAGAAGTGGCCAGACTTGACATATGAACGTGTCCGCTAATACCAACGAAAAATCTCTTTTTTTTACATTCTTAAGTCGGTAATCGTTGATTATTACTGTTTTTTATGACATCAAGTTACGGGACGGACAAGTCATTGTAAGTGACACGTCTATGCATAACGTTACCACGTCTCCCTGAGACATAAATTTGAGTCCCACGTGCCTGCCGTTCCACCAGCACCTTTACCCTTCAAAAGCGGAGCGCAGTAATGCTCATATTGTTGTTTGCGACTAACATGGTAACGAAGCAATATTTTCTTGGACGAACTCTTTAACAAGGAGCTCTACTGCTATATAATTTAAATTTATTACGGTTCTAAGTTGTTGCTAACTCCTAATCAATCTGTGCAGGGCTTTTTTTCAATATCAAGTGACGGGGCGAACAAGTCGCACGCCTGTCAGAAAGAGCTCATCCTGGGAAGTATTGCCACCTTACCTATTTCCGCCGCCAAGCAGTGTCAACATTACTGCGAACCGGTTTGGAAGGGTAAGGGTGCAGGTGAAATTTGTGTCTCAGGGTGATGCGTGCAGTGGCAGTGCCCCTCATTCTTAGCGGTTGAAAACTCTGAGTGGCACTGCAACTGTTATAGACGGGCGTGCAGCTTACCATCAGGCGCACGACTTGCTCGTCCCGTCAATCGTAACGATCCGAGAGGCACCTCCACTGCACCCGTCACCCTGAGACATAAGTTGGCAAGTTCCTGTAATTGTGTGCCTGTAATTTCACCAGCAAAAAGGCTTGGTAACTTGAAATGGTGTTATATATTAGTCTATCAACACAGGAGAGCTTGAGATATATTTCCAGATCTAAGTGACATATTAACCGACACGCACTTAACCATTTATTGATACGGGCCTAAAAAAGTATTGACAGAAGCAGGAATAACTGATAGTGCGTGATTTAAGGTTAGTTACATACACTTAGCTGCCGTTTATCAGTGCGAGCCATAATGCGTTTTATTTTGTCATAAGTAATGATAATATGTAGCGAGGTTATTTAGTTATAGGTTGTTACAGTTATATGATATTTTACGATGTAGGCAGTAAGTAGAATTATCAAAGCAAAGTAATTTGAAGTATTTTCGTAAAACGGAGTGTAAATTTCTATAGATTAGTTTGCTAAAAGAACAAAAGTTTTCTATAAAAACAAGACAGTGATCGGAGCTTGATAGAACTACATTAGAGGTCATGAACTCCAGGGTCCACTAAAGTGAAGAGATGAAGTTAAACAATCAAAAACAGAGCGTTTTTATTTATGGTCGCCTTACTGTTAAAACCTTCTACTGCCTCAGTGGCTGAACGGTTACCATGCCGGATTGCCACGCAGAGGTCCCAGGTTCGTTTCCCGGGCCGGGAGAAATATTTGCATGGCCTACATTTATTTGTCTCGTGAGTTTGGGTGTAGTTTGTGGTTGTCTATGTGTGTGTCACCCGCGATACAGGGTTTCCCTAGTGCGGGGATATGTTGAGTGTGTGTGCGTGTTGTTATGTCCATTTTTTAAAACTTTACAGGCAAGGGAAAAAGCCTTACAAAAAATTGTACTTGGTGTGTAAAGTTTCGAAGTTTGAGAAAATCACTACGAACGAGGATTGCTTGATTCGTATTAATATAAGGCCTCCATGGCGCTCGGCCTAGTAACTCATGCACGCCCCGCAATATATTAGTTCCAGCCTCTGCAATAATGTACTATTTTTAATGCTTAACCGACTTCAAACAAGGAGGAGGTTCTCAATTCGACAGTATGTTTTTTTTTAATGTATGTTACGCGATAACTCCAGTATTTGTGCACCGATTTGCATGATTCTTTTTTTTGTTGGAAAGAGGGTACCTCCATAGTGGTCACATTTAATTTTGAAGAAAATCATCCACCTCTATGAGTGGCTGTTCACTCATGAAGACTCATGTTTATAAATAGCGCCTAAATTTTACTATAAGGAGCAATTATTTTAATGGTTGATTTTGCCATTCTGTGATTCAAGGTGTTTTTCTCTCTCAATATACTTTGAGTAGTGAGAACCGATTTTTATTATCTCCAGTGTCAAGTTCCGTATAGTAACGAACTAGGGGATGAATCCGGGTTTGCGCACTTTCCGGTAACCAATTTAAACAAAACTTGTAAAATAAATATAACTCCACGTACTTTTGAGGTCGGTTTTTTTAGGACTCTGTACTGAGATTATTTAAACACGTTTTCCTTTCACCACCACACCATTTACTGTGGAGTAATGCATCATGTGTCTACGATTAATAGTACAGTTCTACAAGAGCGTTAAGTAGTAAGCAATTACGAGCATAGGGACAGTTTCGAGCCTCGAACGTTTGCAACTGCCGCTCCGCCCACGTGCTTACATTCGTCACACTTGCTAGGAAAATTTATTCATATCGTATTTACAAAATTTTAAGCATCTCAGAAACAATCTTAAACAAATGATAATATTTTTTAGCCTTAAAACATTTTGCTTTGACTTTACTACGAATAAAACCTTTAAATTTAGATATAGTCGTAGTATTTATTAGTCATATTATTTATAGACTATGTATTTTATAAAACATAAATTAAATAAAGCCGACTGCATTTGTATTAGTTTTTAACCAAGTTCAAAATAAGGAGGAGGTTCCCAATTCGACTGTACATTTCTTTTTTTTTTTTTGTGTGTATTTATGTTACGCGACAATTCCGGCATTTGTGAACCGATTGTATAGTAGTGGTCCCATTTAAATTTGAAGAAAATATTCCACCTCTAAATGTGGCAAACTAGGGGAAAGTAAAGGAAAAAGCCTACTGCCACTTGGGGCCGCGCCACGTATTTGGCCTCGTAGAACTAGTCACACACATCGTAGAACTAGTAGACTACTTCGAAGCTCTCGCACTCACAGCCGGCGGCGGGAGAGCAGCAGTAAAACACAACACGTTACCGCTCTAGGGCCGTATCCTAAAAATACCGCCTAGTTTTGCTGCACATCATACTACTACTTACAAGCAAGTGTGATGAAAAATATGTTACGGCGTATTATCACCTAAAAACCTTGATAAACTTGCTTGTGGTGCAGGATCAGATTACAGTAATCCTGTCTTTCATATAAAATACCGTACCTTGGACTTCGCTTTCTTAGGCAGAAGGTCCCGCAGTTTCCGACCCGTGCTCAGCCGCTGCAACAACCATGGGCTGCACCACTAGGCCTCACCGCACTAGGACTGGTATCTCACAACATAATACTAGCTTGGAGTATTTAACAAGCAATCCCGGGATGCAGGTTTCTCATTTTTTGTTTCCCAGTTGTTTGTATAAGCCACAAGTCTTTTTTT